GGGACTGCTTGTTATCCTGTATCAACAGAAGAAGAAAGAGTTGCAAGACATGCAGCTGAGAGGTGTATACAGTTTTTGCTTCAGATGATCCAAAGTGGGCTATTTTTTTGTTTTGTGTAAGCAGATCTTAAAATATTGTGTGCTTTGCATCATGGCTTAAGAAGGGTTTTGAGCTAGAAGAGATGGAGAAGTTGGCAGAACGCTTCACATGAGATCACAATATCAAAATCAGCTTCCTGCATTCAGAGATGAAATATATTGAACCTGACCTTCAGGGGAAATTACAATGCTTATCTTTCTGATCAGACTACTGTGGGAGAAGGGCAGTGTACAAACATCGTATTTTGAGTAAGGTAACTGATCAGTTGAGTTATAGACTCTGCCTACTTTTTTGTTAATTATATATTTAGGAATAGCTTGATTTTGTTCATTCAAAAAGTTGTTATTAAAAGCTTTAGCAAATTATGGTTAATGGAGTTCCATTAACTCCAAATGGTTCATCTGAGAAGTTAGTTTGCAGTCTTCTGTTCTTACTCTGAAGCGTTTGCTTCTGGCTTGTAGAATAAATCTGTTTGCCATTCCTTTTTTAGTTTTTCTAGAGGTATAACTTATGACGCATCTCTGGCCACTTCTTTCACTCTTCCTGTTTCTTTTCAAATAGACAAGTGCCTCAGGTTTTTTTGGGACACTTGAGGAATCTCTGCCTCAGCTAAATGCCATAGTTCTTAAATGCTGATAGCGAGTGATTTACTGGTGGTTCTACTGGGGGTGGATGGGTGGGGAAGAACTGAAGAAGCTGGTCATTGCAAGTTGTTTGCCTGGTTATTCTCTAAGGGTTGGGGGGAAAGGCTTACGCTGTGTTTCTGTTGTGTTAATGGTGACTTCTTGTAAATACAAACTCTTCAAATTTAATTCAGTGTTGCTGTTTACTGTATATATGTCATGTAAAATGGTATGGTAGAGGACTGAGTAGCTAATGTCTTGTCTGCGCTCGTAACATGTAATCACATTTTATATTCTGACATGGATGTAAATTTAGATGTCTAACTTGATCTTAGTAGCAAGCTAATAAATAGAAACTATAGAAACTAGTGGCAGTGGGATGAAACATTATGAAATGTTGACCTGCTTTTGACCTTTTCTTTAATAGGTAAGTTCAGTTCTACGCTCTACGAGACAGGGGGCTGCGACATGTCACTTGTGAACTTTGAGCCAGCTGCAAGAAGAGCATCCAACATCTGGTGTGTGTGAAGGCCAGTCAAGAGTGATGATTCTTGTCTTACTGCAGCAAAATCTTTGATTTTAATTTTAAAAGGTTATTTATTATGGACTACCAAAAAATGAATATAAAACGTTATCCATATACTTTTATTCTTGAAACCGAAGTGATTTTTACTAGAAGATGACACTAATGGCATAAATAATCCTCTCCACTTAAATCTCAGAAAATGAAGACTACTATTAGCTTAAGTAATAAATGTACAAACTGAGAACTTGACAAATGCATTTTTGATTGGCTTATAGAAAGCCTTTGTTAAAGGATTTAACCCAGGATTTGGGAAAGTAGGTGGCTGTTGACCGTAATGGCTATTAACAAATGAACTTCCAATTGTGAAGCAAATGTAAACTGATAAATTTGTTCTCAAGTTCATGGATGTTATGAAACAATACATGGAAGTGTTAACATGCCTGAGGTTAAAATTTGACTTAGAGCTGAAATAGCCAGCTACATACCGGAAGGTTCATCTGTTGTTGGAAAGATGCCCTTTCTTTCTCTGAAGGGTCAGGAGGCAGAAGAAAGAAAAAGAACCCAATCCCCCATCCCCCCCAACTTCTGCCAATCCACTTCACTGCATAGAACTGCCTTGAAGCTATCGCGTCATGCTGAATGCTACAAATTCCCACCATGTGTAGGTGGAATAGCTATTGGAGTTATGGAGTAATGAATATAAAAGCTCCCATCTTCAAATTTTTCTTGTGAAAGTGTGCAAGTGCCTCTTGTAGAGTTGAACTTTGACAAAAAGTTCTGTATTCCTTGCACAAAGCTGCCAATGCCTGCCTCTACTGCTTGCATGTTCCAAATGCAATGGCTTTGCTGATGGCTGCTGTTTTGAAGTTGTATGTGCTAATGGAAGGAACAAATGGGCCACATCCAAATAATCATATCTCAGCTTTAGGGAATACTTGAATTTTTCAGTGAAATAAAATTGATAACAAAGAATGTTTTTATCTTAAGGCAAGGAACTGAAGGGAAGTTGCATAAATTCGATACAAGTCTTACAGCCATGTGATTTACATGGAAAACAAACATCTAAAAGCTATCCAAAATTGGGGAAAGAAGCAATGGTTGGATATGGACTCTCATACAATAAGAGAAATTTCTCCTCATCGCTAATGAATGGAAATTGCAAAGTAATTTTGCTTTACTTAGCAAAGGTTTAAATTTATTTAAAGTTAAGTTTTTCAAAAGCAATTTAAGATTAAGTAACTTGGTATACTTGTGTTAAGTATGTATTATTTTTGGCACTTTTGGGACCTTGGTAAAAGCAGTATAGAATTAACAAAAACTCTGTGTGTGAACACATAGTAGACTCTTCACTCCTTTAGAGGTATGATGCATGTTTACACATCAGTACCTAACAGATTATAAAACATCTTTGTTTTTTCAAGTGGAATAATGACTATCATGATAATCCTTGTTAGACAGCTTAGGGACTGGGTGTTGAAAAAATCATACCAAGGGTAAGGGTAAAGAGTCTTCTGATTTACTATAGCTACAGAATTTACTACAATACACAACACTAAGTGGATACTTGTATTGAAAATGTGATCAAAGGAAAGATTTAAAGAAAGATTTTTAGATAAAATTTGCAAGGAGCCAAAATTAATTTGGGACACTAGAAAATTAGAATGGCCTGTTGAAATAAAATGTAGTTTTATAATCTGAAGTCTTTCCCCTGTTCTTATAGTGACACGGACTCTCACGTATCGAGTTCTACCTCAGTTCGCTTTTACCCACATGATCTAGTAAGTTTTTCTTATTTATTTTTATAGCATGCGAAAAATCAGAAGACTGTCCAATTTTATAGCACTGATTAATTGTCCTATATAGTAGTTCTTTATTCTTAAAAAGGATTTTTGTCTGAGTTTAAATGAAGATAAAGTATTTACTTATTGTTGCCATGTCTTCATATATACATACAAATTCATCTCTCTGTGTAACACTTAAAATAGAAATGGTTTACTCTGATCTAAAGCATAGTGGTTCTCTAAATAATGTGGAAGTTGGATGTTTGGAGGTACCTTGTAAAGGTTTCCAGAGATGACTGGACACCTTGGACAGGGTTTTCCTTCTGTGCATTACCAAGATTAGAAGGCAGCAGAAGGAATAAATTTTCGTGTTCTGACCAAGAGAAACTTCAGTAATTTCCCTGAAAGGAATTTACAAACTTGTCATTGGAATCTGCTGTGCAAAATTTTAATTCATATGCAAGGAGTGACTGGGGAAAAAAGGCAGAGGCTTACGCTGTTTCATACTGCAAATAACTTTAGAATTCCTTAGTTTTGTCATCTCAAACCTTCTGTACTGTTGTCAAGTCCAGGCATATCTGTAATCTTAATTCTGAAGTCTGATACTGGTGTGTCATGAAAACAGTGCAAGTGGTCATGATCCTTAAGCTAGGAAACCCAAGTAAAGTATATTGAAGTACCTAATGGCCTAATCAAGAAGGAAAATGAAATACGGATTCAGCATGTGGCAGAGGGGAGCAAGAGACCTCTAGTTTCCTGACCATGCTTTTGATCAAGAATGTGCTTTTCAAACCTGGTGTCTGCTAGAGGAACTTTCTCTGCTTTCCAGCATCCCCCTTGACAAATGTAGCCTTCAGAAAAAGAGGCTGCATTACCTGTTATGTACTGCTGGCTTGCCAGTGTAGTCCCATTGGAGGGAATGATTCTGTTTAAGGCAAACTCGTATTTATAAAAACTTAGCCCATGTGCGTAAATGGAAAGTGCCACTGAAATTTATTAGCGTGACTAATGTTATGTTATGGTGATGCTACCTTTTGAGAAACCAAGTTTTAAAAAAGTTGTCAGAAAAAACACCTGCTTTCTGGCACAGCTTATCTTTAGGTAATATGTTTCGTACTTTTGTAATGCCTTTAGAAAGGGAGTGTTCCTGCTTGGTTTTTTTATTAGTATTTTTTCTAGGAAGGAAAAGCTGTCTAAGCATAGTTATAGTACACTGATGTTTTAAGGAGTCATGAAAAAAATTTTCAAAATGAGAAGTTGAATGTTAAAGTTTAAGATGACTATAAAAAAACCACCAAAACAAACAAAAAATCCCTATAATTTTGACACTTAAAGGTGACATGAGAATTTTTCATTAAATGACATTTTAAACTAAAGGGTGGTGCATTAAGATGTTTCTTGGCCCGTTAATGAAATTATAAAGTGGGTTAGACCACACAAACATACTGTAGTAACTACTTTTTAACTGTCTGAGTACTCTCCTTACATGTCCTTTATGGTTGTTAGTATTACTGGGATTTCAAGAGAACTATAGAATGACAAACTACAAAATAAGTGAGAAATAGTCAGTCATAAATAGTACTTAACTAGTTGGGCCAGAACTGTTTTAGTTTGTCTCTGAGTATATGCTGAAGGTAGTGGGTTTGAATTTGACCGTGATGCATGCATATGTTGCTTTGTCATGCAAAACCAACCATTTGGCATGGGTGTGCATGCAGATTAGCTGACTATAAGAAACATGTTGTACTTTATTTAAATTAAGAGTTGGATTATTCTTGTAGCGTACGCTATTCCTGTTCACATATCAGTTTACTTGTCTTCAAATTTGAAGCTTTCATGGTAAATGAGATAATGTGCTTGGAAGACGTATTTGTTCTTCATTTGAAATAAGGCATATGCTAAAATGCCAAACAGTTGTGTTGTGTGCAAACTATTACTGCTGCTGGTGCTATTCATTTGCCATGATAAGGACAGCAAAAGTAAGTAGAAGCCTCAGAACTGACAGTGTTTAACAAATAACTTCTTAAAAGTGAAACTAAGTAATTCTAGCAATTTTTCCACAGCAGTTTTCAGTAGAATACAGTGATATAATAAAAATGAACTTTTGTTAATACTGACTTTCTTTTAGCTGTCTCTTCCTCAGATCAGGTTGAACAGGCTGCTAACCATGGATACAGATCTGCTGGAGCAGCAAGATATTGACCTGAGCCCTGACCTTCAGGACCACATGCAACCTCAAGAGGAAGCAGCTCAAAAAGTCAAGCAGTACTATCGCTTTTGGATCCTGCCTAAACTTTGGATTAGCATCAATTTTGATAGATTAACGCTTCTGGCTTTATTTGATAGGTGAGATCCTCATATGTTACTAGACCTCAAAAAGTAAAGATTAAAAAATAGTAACTAAACTGTAACACAGATAAGTTATCGATAGAGAAATTATGCTTATTTTCTGTACTCTGAAAGATGAAAGAATAATACAAAATGCATTTTTTCCTAAAATAATGAAGGCTAGTCTCCCTTTTCTTCCAGCAATGCTAAAAAGGAAGGGGAGAGGGGAACACAAACCCCCCTCACTTTGCATGAGTCAGGCAATAACAATAAGTATAGTCTATGCAAGTTCAAATCCATTCTTAACTACTTTGCTACCAGCAGCATAACTCTTGTTAACTTCTGACTATAACTGTTCCCTTGCAGCTTTTTCTAGACATAGTTGGCTTTTAATTCTGTCTTGTTTTGTTTTGTTTTTTCTCTCTCCCTCTAATACAGGAATCGTGAGATCCTTGAAAATGTCTTAGCTGTCATCCTAGCTATTCTAGTTGCATTTCTGGGCTCTGTACTTCTTATAGAGGGCTTTTTCAAGGATATTTGGGTCTTCCAGTTCTGCCTGGTAATAGCCAGTTGTCAGTACTCGCTGTTGAAGGTATTTTGATTTCTATCTTCACTTTCTATAAATAATAGAAGTAACTTTTGTTGGGTGTTGCAGGTTGGTTAGAGGAAAAACTGTATGTTTATCGTTTAAAAAGAAATGAGTAAACTTCTGCTTCATGGGAAGTTTGATAGGTGGTCATACAAGGTCACTAGAATGGTTCTGTGTATGGTTGTTAAACAACTCTTTATTTGTTGTTCTCATGCGCTTTTTGTTTTCCCAAAGAGGGGCACATTCTTTACTGGTTGAAAAAAGCCTACAAGCTAAACTTGATGTTTCATTGTTTGTTTGGGTTTTTTAGTGGATATGCCTCTATGCATTCGTATTAAGCAATTATATATAAGCATATTTTTAATCAGAGTCTTGATTTTTTTATTAGACAATTGTTAATAGTATTTTATGTAATTGAAGAATATTGTTTATTTCTTTATGATTAGTCTATTGGGGGAAATTAGATTTAAAATCGAAGTGTATAACTTTTTTAAAAAGGTAGAAGTTCTAAAAATGAGGGTTAAACTTTGGCTATAGACATACACTCTTTGAACAGATTTTATGGTTTAATAGATTGTGCTATTTAAAGGCTGTAGAATGGCTTGACAATTGTAAAATTAATTGTAGATATTATTAAAAGAACTTCAATCTAGGAAGAGTGTGTGTGTGGAGGTAAATGCACTTAACTGTAGATTGGGTAACTTTCCTCTTTCCATTTTGGTTTCAGAGCGTTCAGCCAGATTCTTCTTCCCCTCGACATGTAAGTCATGGGCATGTGTCACTGTACTAACTCTGCAGACATAGAACTTCCACAGAGGATTTATCTTTTTAGTTTGATCTTTTTGGCATTTCTCTTGCGTGCCTTCTCATAAGGCACAAGAGGCTTCTGTTGTCTTGGTGTGTGAGAAGGAAACGGATACTATTTTTTTCCCCCCATAGCCTTTGTTTGTGTTTAGCAAATCAAGTCCTCCTTGTTTTAAGCCTAGCTTTTGCTATAGAGCCATATGATGATAGATTTTTGGATGGAATCTTTAGTATTGGAGCAATTCAGTAAGTAATCTTTGTGTTGTAATTTGCTATGCTGGTATGAACTGACACAGCTTTGATGTTCTATTCTGGTCTTGTAGATAATTTGGTTGTCCTACTGTGCACACAGCCTTATTTTTTTTCACTCTATTAAGCTGAATATGCAATGCTCTAGTGAGCATTAACATTTGAGCATGGAAATGCTTATGTGCTAGTGTTGCACAATATGTTTATATTCTATTGTGCATCTGCTAGATTGCCAACAGAAAATATTTTTATGTCTTAAGATCTGAAAAAGCATTATTCCTCTGCAGCAAGTCATTCATATTACTTTAGGTAATAGGTTATATGTTTTAATGAACACACAAATTCATTCCTTCCCCTCGACACCGCGCCCCCCCCC